AGGTGAGTTCCCCACTGGAGGGGCCACTGGCACATCCTCTATCCCTGCCTGCCCCACAGGGACTCTGCTCCCTTCCCTGCCCCACGTCACCCCCAAACTCCAGCTCTGCCTTCTCCCTGGGGTTGCACCTGGGAATGTCCCAATCCCAGAGCTGGGAGGGCAGGACAGGAGCTCCCCCTCATTTCTGGGTACCCCCTTGTCCTTCCCCCTTGTTCCCACGTGTCCATGGTGCTCTGGGTCTGACCTGGCTTTCTGCGGCTCCCACCCAGCTCAAGGGCTTGGAGCCAGATGCAGTCCTGAAGATGCTGCAGCCAGAAGGAGCCCAGCACGTCCTCCAGGACATGGATGACCTCTCTGCACTCCACAATGTCTCCTACCACCTCCTCGCTGGTTCCCTGCCATCCCACAAAAGTGAGTGTCTGTGGGACTCCGGACTGGGCAGGGCTGGGATTAGATGGAGGTGTGAAGGTCAGTGTGCTCCGAGCATGGAGGTCCTTGCTTCTGCTGCACCTTGGGACAGACCCATCTCCCTGGGGCTGACTTCCCTGCTCTCCAGTTAGGAAGGTGGAGATGGTGGGGCTGGGCTACTGGGACAACCCCATAGTGTGAGAGATGTGGGTCAAGCTCTTGGACGGGTTCACGAAGAGTAATGGAAGGAGCTCAGGGCAGCCCCATGTGAGCCCGTGCTGAAACCAGGTGCCGTGTGTGCCTGGTGCTGCGCGGAGCAGAAGCTTCAGTGAAGCTGAACAAACGCAGCCACAGCTGGGCAGTGGGGAGGGCAGGAGGAGGCCTCATCTCAGTGTGGTTGTGTCTCCGCAAAGTTTGGAGCAGGTTGGGGCATGCTTCAGGATCTGCAGCCATGCCATGGAGCCATTCTTGCCCCACAGATTGTCTCTGCACTGTTCCTTCCCCAAGTTTTGCTTTTTTTTTTTTTTTAAGGTGTTTTTCCCAAATATTTCTTCTTCGGAGGAAGACTTCTCATCCTGGCCTCTGCCTGCCCTTTGGGGAGGGCACTTCCTCAGGTGCTGGGGCTTCAGCAAGGACCTGCCAGTCTTGGACATGGGGCCATAACCACGTGGGCTGGCCATGGGGAGAGTTGTTTGGAGCCCCCACCTCGTGGCTGGCAGGGAAAAGCCTCACCCTGGTGCATCCCAGCCAATGCCTTTCCTTTGCCTTGCAGAATTCCTGGCGGTGGGCCTGGCGTCAGTGCGGCGGCCGCGTGGCTACTACCTCCCAGCGACCCTCCAGTCCCTCTTCATGAAGTCCACAGAGGCGGAGCTGCAGGAGATGGTGGTGGTGGTGCACTTGGCCGACATGGACCCCATGTGGAACATGCGTGTGGCCGCCGACATAACCCGCAAGTTTGCTCACCACATCCTCCTGGGCCGGCTCCTGCTTATCCATGTTCCCCAGGAGTTTTACCCCACCCTCGAGGGCCTCAAGAGAAACTACAATGACCCGGAGGAGCGGGTGAAGTTCAGGTCCAAGCAGAACGTGGACTACGCCTTCCTCTTCGCCTTTGCTGCCAACCTCTCCTCCTACTACTTGATGATTGAGGATGATGTCTGGTCTGCCAAGTCCTTCTTGACGGCCATCCGCAAGGCACTGGCTTCCCGGGAAGGCACCAACTGGGCCACCCTTGAGTTCTCCAAGCTGGGCTACATCGGTAAGCTCTACCACTCCAGCGACCTTCCTCGCCTGGCTCGCTTCCTCCTCCTCTTCTACCAGGAGATGCCCTGCGACTGGCTGCTGTCCCACTTCCGCCTCCTGCTCACCCAGAAGGACGTCATCCGCTTCAAGCCCTCCCTCTTCCAGCACATGGGCCTCTACTCCTCCTTCCAGGGCACCATCAACCGGCTGGAGGACGATGAGTTCCAGGACGATGCCTTGGACCTTCCTGACAACCCACCAGCAGCCTTGTTCACCAGCATGTCCGTCTTCGAGAACTACGAGCCCCTCAAGGCTTATAGTGGAGCACAGGGGTATTTTTGGGGGAAAGACCCCACAGCTGGCAGCGTCTTCTCCATCGTCTTCCAGCAGCCGGCCAAGGTCACCCGTGTCCGGGTGCGCACGGGCTCGGAGGAGCGCCGGCAGGATTTCCTGCACGCGGGGGTGCTGGAGCTGGGCCGGCAGCGACGGGCCGACGGCCGGGACTGCTCTGCCTACACCACTGTGGGCACCTTCCAGAAGGGGACCTTCGAGCGGCGGGGGCTGGAGAAGGCCCTGCCCGGCCCCGTGGAGTGCCTGAGGATCCGGGTCACCCGGGACCAGAGCGAGTGGCTCATCATCCAGAGCATCCACATCTGGACCACAGCTGGCAGCTGAGCCGGGCGCGTGGCCAAAGCGGCTGGACTTGGTACTGAGAGTTATTTTATTTTTCTCACTCCCTTTTTTGATAAGGAGTTAAATTATTGTCTCCTGCTGGTGCCCATCCCGGAGGGAGGATGGAGTGGGTCCCTCCGGCCCCCCCGGGGGGGTGAGCGGCGCCGGGGGCGGGTGGAGGAGGAGCAGAGTCTCAGGAACTTCATGCTGGGACACAGAAAACATTTCCTCCCAGGGAGGATGGTGTACAGGACAAAGCTAATCAGCTGATTAACAATCCAAATAATTAACCAGGCGGTGGGCATTTTTTTCTTTTTTTTGCATCCTCTCCACACCACCCCCTCCCCAGCTGAGATTTCTAACCCACCGACCCCCCATCCTGCAGATTTTCCTTCTCCCATCCCATTTTCAAGCTGTTCCTGGGGACAGATACGGGGGTGAGGGGTCTGGAGCACAAGTCTCATGAGGAGAGGCTGAGGGAGCTGGGGTTATTCAGCCTGGAGAAGAGGAGGCTGAGGGGAGACCTTAGTGCTCTCTCCAACTCCCTGAAAGGAGGGTGTAGAGAGGGGGGGGTCGGTCTCTTTTCTCAAGTCCCAGGCGACAGGACAAGAGGAAATGGCCTCAAGTTGCGCGAGGGGAGGTTCAGGCTGGATATTAGGAAAAATTTTTTCACCAAAAGGGTTCTCAGCCATTGGAATGGCACAGGGAGGTGGTTCAGGCCCCATCCCTGGAGGTGTTCAAAAGACGGGTTGATGTAGTGCTGGGAGGTCTGGTTTAGTGATGATGCTCCTTGTTTGTTGTGTGGGTGTCTATTTTTGTCAGTCAGGTTGACGGTTGGACAAGATGATCTTTAAGGTCCCTTCCAACCTAGAAGATTCTGTGAGATTCTGTGATTTTGTGCTGCTCACCAACCCCCTCGCCCTCCGGGATGGGGCTGCAGGGAGCTGGGAGCAGGACCCCCACCACTGGTGATCACGGGTGTCTCGGTGCTGATCAGAGGGACAACGGCCACCAGATGGACCCATCACACCAGCACAGTCCCCACACGGCCACCACGGCAGGAATCCTCCACCTTGTGCTCCACCAGCTTGTGCTCAGACCCTTCAGACAGGCTTTCCCCTTCCCAGTGAATCCCCCCAGTCCAAGGGGGATTCACACCCAAAGCGGGAGACAGGGGTTCTTAAAAAGGGGGAGAATCCCAGAATTGTAGGGGTTGGAAGGGACCTCTGGAGATCATCCAGGCCAAGCCCCTGCCAGAGCAGGGTCACCCAGAGCAGGTTGGACAGGAACGTGTCCAGGTGTGGTTAAATCTCTCACACACCCCTCTGGAGAAAGGTTCAATGACTGAACACCATGGAACGAGGAGGGGTAAAGGAAGACATGACCTCAGTGTAATGTGAAGCTCTGGGTACGTTTCAGCCCGGTGAAGTGCTTCAAAGTTCATCTACTTCCACCCCCTGCCCTGGGCAGGGACACCTCCCACCACACCAGGTTGCTCCAAGCCCCCTCCAACCTGCCCTTGAACCCCTCCAGGGATGGGGCAGCCACAGCTTCTCTGGGCAACCTGGGCCAGGCTCTCACCACCCTCACACCAAACAAGTTCTTCCCCACATCTCAGCTCCATCTCCCCTCTTGCAGGGTCAAACCCTTCCCCCTCCTCCTAGGGCTCCCCTCCCTCATCCAGAGTCCCTCCCCATCTCTCCTGGAGCCCCTTGAGGGACTGGAAGGGGCTCCAAGGTCTCCCCGGAGCCTTCTCTTCTCCAGGCTGAACCCCCCAACTCTCTCAGCCCCCCCTCCCAGCAGAGGGGCTCCAGCCCTCCCAGCATCTCCGGGGCCTCCTCTGGCCCCGCTCCAACAGCTCCATGTCCTTCTGCTGTTGGTGGCCCCAGAGCTGGAGGCAGCACTGGGGGGTGTCTCCCCAGAGCGGAGCAGAGGGGCAGAATCCCCCCCTGGCCCTGCTGGCCACGGGGCTGGGGAGGCAGCCCAGGGGTGGGGGGTTTCTGGGCTGCCAGAGCATGTTGTTGGGGCCTGTGGAGCTTCTCAGCCACCAACACCCCCAAGTCCTTCTCCTCAGGGCTGCTCTCCAGCCACTCTCCACCCAGCCTGGGTTTGTGCTGGGGTTGCCCTGACCCAGGTGCAGGACCTTGCACTTGGCCTGGTTGAACCTCATGAGGTTGGAAAGGGGCCACCTCTCCGGCCTGTCCATGTCCCTCTGGATGCCATCCCTTCCCTCCAGTGTGTCACCACACCACACAGCCTGGTGTCACTGGGAAACGTGCTGAGGGGGCACTCAATCCCACCGTCTGGAGGACAATCACTCAGCACTGGGAGCCCCAGACCTGGCACGACGGGACTTTTCCCCAAAAAAAAGCTACCTGTGTAACAGATCTTTGTCTGCATTTAATACAGAGATGCTACAGGATAAACTCCAGCACCTTCCTGATATTATCGGTGTTCTCAGTGGGATCAATATACACATTGAGTCACTTCAGCTTCCTCCACACAGCCCGAGCACAGTCAGAGCTCTCAAAGTGTTCCCAGTAGCACAAGTGTCCCCTTTCCAGGGCCCCCAGGCCCAGAGGGGTGTTTGCAGCACCTCAATAGAGCCTCTGCCCTGGTTGTCTCGGACACAAATGCCCCGATCATCAGGGGTTACTAACGTGGTACAAACGGAAAGCTTTCTCCCCAGGATGCTTTTATTCACTGCTAAAGCAGGAAAAGATATAAATGTAAATCAACTTTTTACCTGTTGGTCTCTTACTCGTGAAGGTACTGACCAGTTCTGGGACGTTCACCTGCGCGGACACAAGCTGCAATCTCAGCGATGCGGGTGTAAATCTGGGCACAGACTGGAAACCTGCCCAGGTCACACCAGGGTAAGTGCAGGCAGCAGCTGAGCACCCGGAGGGAGCCCCCTCCTCCTCCTCCTCCCCATGGATGCACTTGCCTCAGCACAACGATGCCCAAATAACATCGCTGCAAACGGGAGGAGGAGGCGGCTTCTTCACCCTGGAGGAGCGCCACGTAATCTATCCCACGTAACAATTATCACATTATTTTTATCCCAGGAAGATTCAGCCTACTTCCACCACTCCGTACCGAGACCCTGGTCTCTGACGAAGGGGGTGGGCTGATGGAGACTTCAGTCCCAGCAAGTGGTGGCCGCGGGGTCCCACTGAGCCGCAGCCCCCGCCCCAGGCAGCCCGGGAGTCCCCCCATCCCACCCACCATCCCCATGCAGCCACGGGGCTGACCACCAGTGCGGATCTCAGCCGGGCAAGGGGTGAGGAGCCTCCGGGCCGAGAGGTAAAGGGCAAGGGGACAAAACCAGAGGCAAGCATTTTGGTCTGCTTCTCTCTACGAAGACGGTAAATCAGAGAGGGTTAGAGCTTTCAGTCAAACACCACGGATGTCTGAAGGGTGACCTGCTGTCCATCTCCACCAGCGGAGCTACCCTGTCTCTCGGGGAGCGGTGCTGCAGAGCTCAGTGAAGATCTAGCTCAGCATCTTGTGGCGGTCGAACACTGTCTTCCTCTGCTCCTGCACCTGGCGCTTCCAGCGCTGCTGGGCCCCCTCCACCCTCTCCAGCACCGTGTTGGCTCTAGCGCCCGACGGGGTGGGGGCTGCGGCCAAGGAGCGAGCGTCCTGCCAGGGAAAGAAACAGTCAGAGATCAAGGCACGTCCAGCCCCAACACAGACGGTGGCAGCTCGACTCTGGGAGACCCCTCAACTTTAGGAGCAATTCAAGGCTGGGGTTGTCCTGACAAAGAACCTCATTTTCAGAGCCCCCCCAACTCCAGAAAGCCTGCACTCAGGGACCACGCATGGTGAAGTCAAGGCCTCAGATGAAAAGTCCCCAGGAGATGAACTGCTCTAAGTCCAAAACCTCTCCTGGGAATCCACTGCCAGGAGTCTGCAAGGAGCTGTGCTGCTGAAGCCAACTTCAGTTAGGAGCAATTCAAGGCTGGGGTTGTCCTGACAAAGAACCTCATTTTCAGAGCCCCCCCAACTCCAGAAAGCCTGCGCTCAGGGACCACGCATGGTGATATCAGGCTGGATATTAGGAAAAATTTTTTCACTGAAAGGGTTATCAGACATTGGGATGGGCTGCCCAGGGAGGTGGTTGAGGCACCATCCCTGGAGGTGTTCAAAAGACGGGTTGATGTAGTGCTCCTTGTGATGATGCTCCTTGTTTGTTGTGTGGGTGTCTATTTTTGTCAGTTAGGTTGATGGTTGGACAAGATGATCTTTAAGGTCCCTTCCAACCTAGAAGATTCTGTGATTCTGTGAAGTCAAGGCCCCAGATGAAAAGTCCCCAGGAGAGGAACTGCTCTAAGTCCAAAACTCTCCTGGAAATCCACTGCCAGGAGCCCGCAAGGAGCTGCACAGCTGAAGCCAACTTCAGCAGGATCTGCATGGATTCGTGCCTGAATGTTTACCTGTGGAAAGCGCCCAAAAAGCAACAGTGCTGGTCCCACGCTGGACCAAAGGAGCCAAGGACAAGGTCACCGTTTCCCTGTCAGCCACTCTCTGGCCATCCCACCACCCTGTCTCCCCCGTTACCCCAGCAGCACAGTCTCACCTCGTTCCGTTGCCCTCCTCTGCACTCGCTCCAGCACCTCCAGATCTCTCGTGGATTGAGGTGCCCAAAACTGGACACAACACTCCAGGTGTGGCCTCCCCAGTGCTGAGTACAGGGGCACAATCACCTCCCTACTTCTGCTGGTCACACTATTTTTGATACAAGCCAGGATGCCATTGGCTTTCTTGCCCCCCTGGGCACACGCCGGCTCATATTCAGCCGTTGGTCAACTAGAACCCCCAGGGCTCTTTCCTCCAGGCAGCTCCAGCCACACTTCCCCAAGCATGATGTGCATGGATTCATGCCTGAATGTTTACCTGTGGAAAGCGCCCAAAAAGCAACAGTGCTGGTCCCACACTGGACCAAAGGGGCCAAGGACAAGGTCACCGTTTCCCTGTCAGCCACTCTCTGGCCATCCCACCACCCTGTCTCCCCCGTTACCCCAGCAGCACAGTCTCACCTCGTTCTCCTCCTCGTTGTGCAGGGGCTGGGTATAAGCATCCGGCTTCCGGATCAGAGGGTCCACCAGCACGAGGAAAGCCATGTAAAGCAGCAGTGCCCCCACCACAGACAAGTAAATGATGATGATCACCTGCAGTTAAGGACAGCAGAGTAGAAAAGGATCAACAGTGTAGATAAGAAGCACCACAGAGGCCAGGAAGCTCCCTTCACAGCTGCCTCCGGTGTTTGATCTCTTCCCTCATTCCAGTTTTGTTCACTAAGAAGTCTCTTGCACTTGCAGGAAGGCAGATGATGTTAAGTCTGTGCACACAAACCGTGCTGATCTTATAGAATCACAGAATCATAGAGTTGTCCAGGCCGGAAGGGACCTCCAAAGGCCATCTAGTCCAACCCCCCGACAGTCAGCAGGGACACCCCCAACTAGACCAGGTTGCCCAGGGCCTCGTCGAGCCTCTCCTTGAATATCTCCAGGGAAGGGGCCTCAACCACCTCCCTGGGCAACCTGTTCCAGTGCTCCACCACCCTCACAGTGAAGAACCCTCTCCTCATCTCCAGTCTAAATCTGTTCCCCTCCAGCTTGAAGCCATTGCCCCTCGTCCTGTCACTGCAGGCCTTTCTAAACAGGCTCTCCCCAGCCTTCCTGTAGGCTCCCTTCAGGTACTGGAAGGCCGCTATTAGGTCTCCCCGGAGCCTTCTCTTCTCCAGGCTGAACAACCCCAGCTCCCTCAGCCTGTCCTCGTAGCAGAGGTGCTCCATCCCCCTGATCATCCTTGTGGCCCTCCTCTGGACCCTCTCCATCAGGTCCATGTCCTTCTTATACTGAGGGCTCCAGACCTGCACACAATACTCCAGGTGAGGTCTCACCAGAGCAAAGGGGCAGAATCCCCTCTCTGGACCTGCTGGCAACGCATCTTTTGATGCAGCCCAGGATGTGATTGGCCTTCTGGGCTGCAGCTGCACTGTGCCTATTTAGGGCACGTGCTGCATGTGAAAGGAGACCAGCGAGACACGTCCCCACTCAGGGGTGCCTGGCACTGTCACACAACCTCAGTGAGAGGGCTGGGCTGATGTGCAGCCTGTGCCTCGCTGCCAGGAGCCCTCCTGACTCGGACACGGTGCCCCTGGCACTACCACCGGGTACAAGCTGTGATAGATTTTGCCTTTCTGGGCTTTTCTCCAGTCCAGCAGTGCCTGGGATGGCGTGGCACAGCAAGGAGGAGCCAGGCACAGGGAGCAGAGCTGTAATTACCTTGATGGTGGTGGTGCTACGCTCCTCGTATTTGCACTCGCACAGCAGGCAGTAGGCCTCCACGTCATTCCCTGGCACCGGCATCGGCTCCACAACATGCAGGCAGTTGCTGCAACACAAAGAAACCAAAATCAGCAACAGGACAAGGTGAAACCAATGCCCTGTGGAAGGACGCTGGGGTGACTTTTTCTGTGTCTCAGCTTTCCCTGATAATGCTGATTGGTTTTAAGAGTTCCCCTCACAGCCCAGCGAGTCCGAAGTTCCTGGGACAGACTGTCCAAGCACCTTCTGCAGGGATCCAGTCGAGGTGGAAGGGACTCAAGGGTCCTACATCTGCTGAGAGCTTAAGAAATCATGCCTCCCAGATTCCTCAATCTCTGTTCAAAAAACGCCCCTCACCTGGGGTGACCATCACCTACCAAACCGGCTTCCTCTGCAAACGCACAGGCAGGGAATCACTCCCTTAGCACCAGCTGAAAACTCCGGAGTGTTGGCTTTCACGGACCTATCCCTCAGGTTTCAGCCCACAACTCACCAGTCCTTCTGGGACACATTCTTGTTGTAAATGTGCCCGCTGATGTTCCGGTACGGGGGACAGATGCACTTGCAGCGGATGTCCTCTGAGCTCTGTGGAAGCAAGAGGTGACAGCGTCAGTGAGTGAATGTGCAGGTACAGTCTGCTGGGTGGGAAAAGGCAGAACACTCTCTGAGAGAGACAGAGAGAAGACTTCACACCGTGTCTCTTCTTCCTGCGCTGCTTCTTTCACATCAATAACTTCACAGTTTTACAATGTCTTGAGCACCTCTACTCTAGACACCAGGTACTTTTCAACCAAATTTTAAAAAGCAAACTCCAAAACCCAGCAGAAGGCAGGGCAAAGGCCACTGTCACGTACATGCACAGCTCTACGTATGATAAATACACAGCTGCTACAGCACTCCTCAGCTTTGCAAACTTCCACACAAACACGGTTGCTTCTCTGCCATTTTTTTTTCTGTTGTACCAGACAGACAGCTCGGTACCTGTGTCTGAAGCTGTTCACTCACCTTGCTGGCTTGTGCCAGAGGAGGAAGGATGCAACACAGCAGCACCATCAGCAGCATCGAGCTCGCACCCTTCCGAGGGCACTGGGCAAACATCGTGGAAGCCTGAGGAAACAAAAAAAATCACATCCAGGATAAAGGATCTCAGCTGAAGGCAGCAGGAACGCTTTAATTTGAGCTTTCTTTTTCGAACATCGTGGAAGCCTGAGGAAACAAAAAAATCACATCCAGGATAGAGGATCTCAGCTGAAGGCAGCAGAACGCTTTAATTTGAGCTTTCTTTTTCAGCCCACTTGCCCCTGTTTTGCTCAGGAAGTAGAAATTTAGCCCTGAATCAAGGCTGGTCCCAGTCAGAAACTCCTGGAAACACTTTACACAGATCTCAAGAAACACTCCTATCAAAAAAGCTTCCAACATCTAGAGCCACGCACCCAAACTACCACAGTCCTGCAAAAATCACTGGCTTCCTTATAATTTGACTTCTGCAACTCTACATAACCTCCTGTTGCTCCCTTACTATAGTGGAGCTCTGCAACAGGTTATTTTGCTGCTGATAGTTTTGACCAGTAAAAGACACAGAATCAGGAAAACCATGGATCAAGAGGGAGCTAAAGGAGTGCCCTGGGGCCTCAGTGCTGCGCTGTACAATAAATGTTAAATCATTCATTCATCTTCTGATATTCAAAATTTTGCTTCTGAAGGGGTCAGCGTATTTTCACGAGTCACGAACTATGGCAAGGGGGTGGAATATCTACTGATTCCTAAACCTCCTTTACCCCAAGATCAAAATCAAAATCCTAATTCAGCAAAATCCCAACTTTTAAAAATTATTTCAAATTGCTAGCTTGGTGAATTCACTATATGCCTCTTGCTCCATATGCCTAGATATAGTTTTTCTAGAGATATGCGTGCAAGAATCCAAAAGAATATGAGCTCTTTTTTCTCTGCCACAAAAAGCAAAGTCAGTCTCAGCAAGGCTGGCACCGACACTGGCATCGCACAGGCCTGGAGGCAAGAGGCAGAGCGGGCCCCGTGGTGCCACCGTGGGGACAGCTCTGAAAAGCCACTGCAGCACAGCTTTATCCAGGGAAGGTAATTCAGACCTTCAGTAATCAGCTCCACACAGCACCCGTAATCCCACAGGTTCTTATACTCTATTACCTAATGTAATTCCATTGGTACTTACTTCACTGGAATATTCTATCACCGTTTGCTTTATCTTATGTCAACACCCTAAAAATTAAGGTAACTAATTCTTCTTCTATTTTATGGATTTCAAACACCACGTTCCGTTCCTCTCTTCTTTATCTAAACAAAACACCAGCCACTTCTAACAAGCTGACCTGCCAAAACCCACCAAAATGCATTCCAGCCCTATCAACTTATCACAAGATTTCTTAACCCTTTGCGCCCCCGTTAGCAGAAACCTCCCCAAACAACGGTTCACTCTTTGGAGACACTGTTGCATATCAAGGTTTTAGCTCTTCATCCCAAATGTTGGTTAATGTATGACTTATCTGAGCTGCACAGTGCACATTCCCCATTGTGAGTGGCTCTGGATGACCACTTGTTTGAATGCTTACCTCAACGATGGAGCTCCTATCTGGAATTTAGTTTTAACCTGCTCAACTAAATACAGATCATCTGAACAACTCATAACTGTCATTTCTAATAAAATCAGGGGAAGACACGTGATCTATTATACCATGGTTACCAGCAGGAAAATAAAACCTTGGAACGACACCTAGACAAGAGTCCACCCCTCATGAACTGTAAAACACCAGGGGCCACACAAAGGGCAATTCACCTGTAGTTCTTTCCAAGCCTGACAGTGTATGTTCAAAGGGGCATTTGCACACATGCCCTAAAGCTGTTGTTTTCCAGACAATCAGCCAAGCGTGTGTCTAAAACCATCAGAACCTGGACAAAAACCCCACAGCACTGGGAATGACTGCGGAGGAGTGGGACGGCCGTGGGGTCGGGGTCTGGAGGGAGAGGGGACACTCCCCACTGTGGGGTCAGGGTTTGGAGGGAGAGGGGCACTCCCTGCCGTGGGGTCGGGGTCTCAGGGGTCGTGACTTTGGAGCAGGGCAGCTCCCAGGTATGAAGCCCCCCGAGGAGGCCCTGCAGCCACCCACCCCGTGCCCCTTCTCCCCGGGCGCACCCCCAATACACTCTTCACCTTTAACATCAACTGGAGCCCTCCATGAGATCAAACCCATGATGTCTCTAACACCTCGCCCAGGGTCTGGGCTCCAGCCATCCCGACACCCCCCCATGACCCACCCGGCCCCCCGCCAGGAGCCAGGAG